CTTCTACATGGGAATTGTTGAAAGATAAAAAACTAATGCTGTTGCCACTTATCGAGTGTGTTCCCGCGCCCTGCCAGGGAGCCATCGTCGCGGAAGCACATCCCGGAAACCTAAAAGCGGTGGAAGTGGTCAACGCTATCAACGACCCGGTTGCTTATAATGATTGCTGTTATGAGAAAAGTGTCGCGCGTGAATATGGAACAGGTTGTCTGCAGGAGTTTGGTGTAACCAGTATAGGCTATGCAGAAGGAAAGATACTCTATGCCGCAGGTAAAAAAAGTAGTGGGCAAAACTTCCAGGAATGGAAGGGACTTCCTTCTATTATCATTGAAGGGCAGCAACTTTTCAGTACTACTGATTTTATGGGTAGCTTTTTTTCTTATCGCTATAATAATACGGATCTGGCAATAAGCCAGCCTGTCGTGTATGTAGCCAATTATAAAGCAGCTGAATCTACCAGCGTGCTTGGGGAACTTCGTGGTAAACGCGTATGGGCGGCAGGTGTAAAAACCTGGATGGAATTGGCTAAAAAAGGAATTTGGGTCGAGGGAAGTGCCGATGCATTTGGCCTCGAATTTCTGCAGACTCCATGGCAAATGCCATTGTTTGCCATTACCCGCGATGAAGTGGCAGTAGTTACCAATAATCAATCAGCGATCGAGTGGCAGCGCAAAGGGTGGCATAGCTACGGAACTTATGATACGGTGGAAAAGAAATCACCCGTTGTTGAACAAAAGATCAAAGACGCTGATGTTATTTTCTGGACAAGTCATCGTCAATATCAGCAGTATAAGAATGTAGTGAAAAGATCTGTGCAGCATATCTGCCCTTCGGGCGAAACCGCGAATCAATTCCGGACAGCCGGAATCGAGCCTGTAGTATTTCCTAACATTAAAGCATTTCAGCAATGGAGACAAACTTTAGCCCATTGACACAACGGCGATTGAGAGCTGATACACATATCCGTGAACTGACGGCTACGGTAAAGCTTTCTTACAAAAGTTTTATACAGCCCATTTTTGTTGAAGAGGGGATAGATGTCCCTAGGCAGGTAGATGGTTTAAATGGTGTACGGGTGGAAACGGCTGATAGTATAATAGATAGCATAAGTGATGACCTTGCTGCCGGCACCAGTAAGTTTCTTCTCTTTCCCGTTCCCGCAAATAAGAAGGAAAAGGATTTTGATTTTTCATTCGCTACCGGAGTTGTAAAGAAGATAAAAGAACAGTTTGGAAATGAAGTGTGGCTATCTGTCGATGTATGCCTTTGCAGTTATACCACGCATGGCCATTGTGGCGTATTGAATGACGATCATTCACGACTTTTAAATGGCCGCACTGTGAATGTACTGACCCATTATGCTTCGTTATTGGCACAGGCTGGCGCGGACTGTATCGCTCCGAGTGATATGATGGATGGACGCATTGCTGCGATCAGGAGCCAGTTGGATGCTTTGGGCTTTGAGACTGTCGCTATAATGAGTTATGCAGCGAAATTCAGTTCACAGTTTTACGGACCATTCAGGG